GTTGGGAGGATAGCCGGATAGATTGCCAGAGAGTGGTGAGAGACGGATAGATATCACTTAAACGGGACAGCATTTATAGTGATATTTAGTATATTAGATAAAATGAAATATAAAAAAGAACATAAAATATATTAATCCAGGTTTGAAAATTATAAAGAAATAAATAGAGAAAATTATCACCGACATTTTAAACTTTTTTCACATATTGTCTCTGGGTGACGGACGTGTCAGGCGCGTCTCTCTCTAACAAGCTTCACTATAGTCAAAACTTTCCCCCAGTTCTTTAATAACTTTGATTATTTTCGGAGCATCCATTATGAATAGAATAACTCATCTTCTTATAATGGCTCCATAATCACGGAAATGACTTCTCGCTCGTTATCGATTTTAAGAGATCGTTAACAAGTTCGGCAGCTCGTTCAACGGACATTTATTTCTCATTTAATTAAGTAGATTCCATATTTTAGAAGATGTAAATACAACTATGAGCAATATAATTGAATTTATAGCGATAGTAATAATAGTTTTGTGATGTTATGAGGTTACAGCGCACTAGATTATATAAATGAATATCGTTTAATTCAAGTTCGCATTTAATCGTTCACTGTGCGGACTGCGGACGGCGTAAGAAAGATATTCACTTTATTCAGTGTGAGTAAGGCTCCCTTCAAACGAGTGTTTTCACTCGGCAGTGAAAACACGTGAGCTGGAAAAGTTCACGCTGCGTGCGCCGTCACAGCACGTTTGTGCTGCCAACCCTCAGCATTAAAAAAACACGCCGAGTGTGCGAGAAATGTTCCTGTGGCTAAGGCTCCATTCACACGAGGGTACCTCAGCTATGGTTCACCTCTGGAGGGGACAGCAATCGAGGTTTTCAAGTGGCGGGAGAACACTTGTGTGAACGGCTAACAAAATTCGTGACCGGACAGATGGCCGAAGGACGTTTGGCTGATGGACGTTTCACCGACGGACATTTGACCGAACGGACATCAAGCCGACGGACATTTGGCCAGATGGATAACCTTTTTATTTTATTTTTTATTTTTATTTCTTCCTTGCAATGTATTTTTTGCACATTTACTGAAGGATAAAAGATATTAATTGTAATGTAATTTCTTTATAAAAAATGTCTTCAGTCTTGTGTTTAATATCCGGTAGTCGTCGGAAATAATCAGCATTATTTTCCCCAATTTCAATTTAACTCGTGAATTACAAGGACTGAGAGAGGTTTATGTACACAGGGTGACCTTACAAAACATGAGGTCAGGTCAAAAACATGACATCCGCTAATCCACACACCAACACCACCACAAACACAAAAGAAAGGGCGACGTAACTAGTCATGTTAAGTCAGGTCAAGTTTTTGAAAGAATGCTTGTTCGAACTTTTTAGCCACGCCCCAAACCAACCAAACGTTAGCCCTGCTTGCCTGGACTCTGATGCAGTCGCTCTTCAGAGGTTGTAAAAGTAAGCCGATGTTTTTATTGTTGTTATTATTATTGTTATTATTATCATCTTTAATATTATTATAATTATTATTATTATTATTATTATTATTATTATTATTATTATTATTATTATTATTATTATTATTACTTTATTTAATATTTGTTTCTTTTAAGACCATGGAATTCATACCAACGACAAGAGGCTTCTCCTACATCGTTGATAAACGGAAAGACAATGTAATATATTGGCGATGTGAATGCAAAGGAAGTTGTTGGGGACGATTAAAAACAGAAGACGTTATTCAAGAAGCAAGTAATCACTCACATCCGCCTGATGCCGGACGTAACCTGTCCTTGAAAACAGTAAAGAAAATTAAAAAAAGAGCCAGACATTCGCGGGAAGTGACATCAACTATAATACAGAACTGCACCAGTGAGTACCCACTTGATGCTGCAGGTGCTCTTCCTAAGAAAGAAACTCAGGCAAGAATGGTGCGCACACAACGCATGGCACCAGACGGGGACTTCTTAACTGACGACTTACGGAAATCAATTAGAGGTGAAGACTTTGTCATCCATGAAAGTGACAACCTGCTAATTCTGTCAACACCTCGAAACTTACAGCTTCTTGCTTTCAAAGACCACTGGCTGTGTGATGGGACATTTGATTCTGCGCCAGTAGGCTTTCAGTTATATGCAGTGCATGAGAGCCATAAAATTCCCTTGGTATATTGCATCGCAAGGAACAAAAACCAAGCAACTTATGACTTGATTTTTAGCACCCTCAAGCAAGCGAGACCAGATCCCAATCCTGTTTCAGTCACCATTGACTATGAAAGAGCGGCTCTTAGTAGCATCACAGCATGTTTCCCAAACACAAACATTTTTGGATGTTTTTTTTCCATTTCGGGCAGTGCTTGTGGAGACAAATACAGGGCTTAGGACTACAGACTTGGTATAATGACCCAAAAAATGCACTCATCGTCAAGTCCGTTCAAGCTTTAACATTTGTGCCAGTCAGTGACGTTGCTGAAAGCTTCAATGAATTTGTCTCAGGACTAGATGATGAAACTGATGAACTTCTATCCGAGTTTCTTGGCTACTTTGAAGCGACATGGATTGGTGTTGTACAGCGTGGAAGACGACGAAGACCAGCATTCGAACTCAAGCTGTGAAACATATTGGAGAGAATCACACAAGGCCTTCCACGGACAACAAACTCTCTTGAGGGATGGCACAGGGGGTTTGAGCGGAGAATGGCGATCACCCACCCCACCGTTTGCCGTCTCGTTTCAAAACTAAGAAAAGAGCAGTCGGACTGGGAGTTGACAATTGAGCAGGCAGCAGCAGGAATGGTATTGAGGAAACCGAAGAAGTACCAGATATTAAACATAAGACTGAAGGCTGTCATTGAGAAATATGAGGAGTATCCCAGAATCGACTTCTTGAGAGCAATTGCCCACAATCTTTAAATATTTATGAACATTTCGTTTTATAAAGCAATTACATAACAATTAATACATTTTATCCTTTAGTTATAAATGTGCAAAAAATGTATATCATGCAAATGTATCACATTGCAATTATGTTATATTTTTATGCTTTGTTTTATAAAGTAAATGCATTGCAAAGAAGAAAGAAAAAATAAAAAAATTAAAAAGGCCATATGTCCATTCGGCCAAATGTTCGTTCGGCCATTTGCCCGTTCGGTCTATTGTCCGTTCGGCCAAATGTCCGTCGGTGAAACGTCCGTCTGCCAAATGTCCTTCGGCCATCTGTCCGGGAGTCACAAAATTACACCCGCCCGACCGAACGTGTTTTCACGTCACTCGCGTGAAGGGAGCTGTCATGGTTTTGGGTGAGTCGGTGGTAGTATGAGTGGATTATATTATATTAGGGTATATGTCATAGGAGGGAAGATCAGCTAAAACTAATGGCCCATCACTTTTTTGGTAGATTTTAGTATATATAAACAGAAAATAATTTCAGTTTCAATATTTTGCAACCTTTTGCTTGGTAAATTTTAGCGTGAAATTTATCGAAAATCTAACGTACAGCTGCATTAGTGCATTACAATTAAATAGTGAACATTGCTTTCTGACTTCATTCTTTAACAACC